TTCTTCGTCGGCGATCTGCTCACGTAGACTCTGCAGTGCCTCCCGAAGCCCAGGGAGATTCCGGTACTCTTGCGCAAGCTTTGTTTTCATAGTCTTCGCGTGGTAGATGCGTTTAGAGTCTCGCACCGCCTTTCGGCGCGCTTTGTGGCCAGGTTTGCGGTAGAGAGGCTTAGGTTGGGGGTTGTTTTTGGGGCGCATCTGGCGGTGGGATATGACGCGGCCACGGTAGCTTCTAGTCCAGCTTTTGCGCCTTCTACGGCTTCCAGCTTCACTTGCTGCGGTAGGGGCGCCGTCACCATGGCCGGAACCGAATCGTCGTCGGTATCGGCGGTCAAGTCGATCAGGTCGGCGGGCGTCTGCATGGCTACCTCGAGATGGGCCTCCTCGTCTTCGCTGCTGTCCCCGGCCGACAGCTCGTCGCTGCTCACCAGGTCGGCTACGTCGGCGGAGCGCATTTTGCACAATGAAGAAAATGAGCACCGCACCACACTAGAAATACATAAAGTTGTGGATGCACACCAGCAGTGAGTGTCAAAAGTTAATACAATCAATAGCCAAACGGCGTCATCAACCGTCTTGTCCCACCTGACCTCATAAAAAGGAGGGTCAAGCGCAGCAGAGCTGCACTATACGCTTCGTCTCTGTAAACCACACAGTAATTTTGTGTGTTTTTCAGACCTGTGTCGGTATTCCTTATATTTTTTCCATCCTGATTTACCATGAACTCGCAGTATCGTAGATCCGTGGCCTAGCCGAGAGCCACGTGTTTAGCAGTCAGTTCGAATCACGTCAGGGAATAGACACTTCTCTTCGAGAAAATATAAGGAATACCGACACGGGTCTGAAAAACTCACAAAACTTCTGCGTGTTTTACTGAGACGAAGCGTACAGTACAGCTCTGCTGCGCTTGGCCCTCCTTTTTATGAGGTCAGGTGGGACAAGACGGTTGATGACGCCGTTTGGCTATTGATTGTATTAACTTTTGACACTCACTGCTGGTGTGCATCCACAACTTTATGTATTTCTAGTGTGGTGCGGTGCTCATTTTCTTCATTGTGCAAAATGCGCTCCGCCGACGTAGCCGACCTGGTGAGCAGCGACGAGCTGTCGGCCGGGGACAGCAGCGAAGACGAGGAGGCCCATCTCGAGGTAGCCATGCAGACGCCCGCCGACCTGATCGACTTGACCGCCGATACCGACGACGATTCGGTTCCGGCCATGGTGACGGCGCCCCTACCGCAGCAAGTGAAGCTGGAAGCCGTAGAAGGCGCAAAAGCTGGACTAGAAGCTACCGTGGCCGCGTCATATCCCACCGCCAGATGCGCCCCAAAAACAACCCCCAACCTAAGCCTCTCTACCGCAAACCTGGCCACAAAGCGCGCCGAAAGGCGGTGCGAGACTCTAAACGCATCTACCACGCGAAGACTATGAAAACAAAGCTTGCGCAAGAGTACCGGAATCTCCCTGGGCTTCGGGAGGCACTGCAGAGTCTACGTGAGCAGATCGCCGACGAAGAAAAGCCGCCTGCTCAAACAGCCGGCGAGGCGGTTGTGGAGCATACTGAAGAGCAGCAACAAGTGGCGGAGGCGCTGGACGCGAATGCTCCTGCTACGGGTGCCATTTTCTGGCCGCGCAGCATCGACCACTCGCTCGAGCTTACTGTTGCTGAGGGTGTCAGAATTAAGGGGTACTGGCCTTCGGATGTGTGCCAGTGCCTTGTTGATTGCTTTTCGGACGGTTGCTCGAACGCAACCTCTAGTCTCTTCTGTGATGAAGACAACTGCAAGTTTGAAGGGCGTTGTTCGAATGGAATACTGGAGTGCAGCGCCATGGAGCTTTTTCAATCGGCAATTGGTATTGGAGTCCGTGCGACGGACACGATACCTGTTGGGGCCACCTTTGCGCCGTACACGGGCTTTCTGACGGATTTTGATTATGATGCAGAAGTCCACCAGCGTCACTACGTCATTTCGCTACACGCTCGTAGCTAGGACGACAAGAAGCTGTTCATTGATGCTGAATCTTCAGGGACGGTTGCTCGCTACATCAACCATTCATGCGAACCGAACACGGAATTCGTGGAGACGCGGGTTGCGGTGAAAACCTTTATGTAGCCATGCCAATATTTACAGTTGAGAAATAAGCGTAGTAAATTCGGATGTAATAGATCAAGGCGAAGCGAACAACGCCACGGACGCTTCCAACCGACCAATATTGAGAGTGAGGGGCTCGGAAACGACACACTGAAATTTGTAAGTTGGGTCATTTGTATCAGTAATGTTGTCACTGTACTATCAACTTTACCGTGCCAGTGCAAGTTGTACCGTTTCGCTAGACTTGCAATTAAGCACAACGGTATTATCATACTACCACCGGTAATATTGACCTGGTCACGGTACTCTTTCGATTACCGTGATGTACCGTATCCTGATTTGGTGTACAGTGACCAAACAGTAGGTAGTACCTTAACTTACCAAGGGGTACCGTATGTAACACATTCATACCGCAGTATGATTTAAGCACACAAACCACTTATTTCGTATTCAGCTTGATTAAGCGTAAGCACTAGGTAGAGCGACATCATGGGCATGAAAGGTCGTTTTTGGATATTCTGTAGAATCCACGGCGACGCCAAGGTTAAGGACTATTCGTGGGCACGCACGCGATTGACCCCGGACGAGCGTCAAGGCAGGGATGAGAGTTTTCTTCGAACTCGTAGCGGTAAAATGATGCGGAAGCGATATTGGCAGTCGGGGCGCCATGGAAGTATCTTCCATGAAGACGATGACGAGGAGGAGGACCCGCGGGACGAAGTGGAACTATTGGAGAGATGTCTGTGGCGCGCGGACTTAGAAGTGTGCGGAGCACCGAATAGCAAACTGCTAAAAGCTACCCATGACAGCTACACCAAGTGCATCAGAGTCGCGCGACTGAATCGGAAACGGTTGCTACAACAAGAAAGACGGCGTACGGAGGCACAGTCTTACAACGCGGCCCTACTTCGTATTTGCACGGAAACGAAGGAGGAAACGAAGGAGGTGGAAGCAGATGCAACGACGGCGAAATAACTTGCCAGATAATGCGCGAGAGAAGAAAACCGTAGTAACATCTAGAAGTGGGTTAATACAATGTTCAACGACAACACCAGCCTCATGCTTTAGTAGAATATTGAGGGTGAGGGGCCAACCGCAAAACACAATACTTCGTGCCGGAAGCAGCAACCGAGGAGGGTTTCATGCGAAACGCGTAGTTAGAAGCTAATGTAGCAACGTCAACAAACGCTTTTACATGAACGTTTGCTTTGTATTCGCAATATTGAGGATGAGGGACTCAATGAAACGCTACGTGAGCGATAGACCAGCACCGTTCAACGGTGGCCGTCCTGCCGAAGCATTTGCAGCCACGTTTTGGTTATCTCCAGCCTTACGGATGATGTTCCGGTTCACTAGGATGCGCCTTCCCTGGGCGTTCACCCTATGCGAAGCGAACCTCGCGTGAAGGAGGTGGATGCACGACCCAAACTTTCTCCAATACCTGCATTGACACCATCCAGCCGCCGTATCGACAAGCCATCCTTCGTCAGGCTGTCCGTGGTACTCCATTCGCGCGTAGTTCCCACCCATTTGCGCTGTTATAGCTAATTACTCCACGGTTCTCTTTTTCGAGGGAATGTAGAATCGAGGGGCCGGACGAGATTGAACTCGAACATGGGCAGGATTGGGGCCGCCAGTGGATTGTTCGTTCAGCTGCAGAAGTTTGTCACTGGCTTACTGCTTCGCACGTCGGACAAGAAGGGCTGTGGCTTCAGGTTGCATCCGGAATGGTTTAGGTTGGTGTGGCATATCCGCACAGCACTCCGCCAGGACGTTTATCAGCATGCCCATCTTCAACCGCGACCGCAGCGTGTAGTCCCGCTTGATTACACGATTGACCTATTCCACAGGATTGTTGGTAGTGGCAAACCCTGGCGCCGTGTAACAACATTGCCAGCGCGAAAATCGGGCACCAAGCCACTGAGACTTGAAATAGGCAGTAAACGCTTCGAGATCACTTCGCTCATTCCACTCCTTCCAGTAACAGTTTGCGGCTTGGACCAACTCGGGAAAACTTGAGCAAAAATGCATGTCATAGATCTGGGTGAGTACTCCATTGGCAACACGATCTGGGAGGCACTTCGTCTTCTCTTGAACTTTCTTCATTACGTGGAAGAAGCACATCAGGAACATGAAGTCCGAGTCATCTCGGAAACCCTGCTCCAACGCGGTCAGCTGACCACTCTCAGCATCGCCCATCACAAACTTTAGACGAATCTGCTTTCCTGTAGTATCCGTGTAAATAGCGCGGAAAGCACTT